AATATAAAGTAAAAAAAAATCCAAAGCACATCATTTAAAGCTAAGAAGGAAGGAATATGCACTAGTATTATTATAAATTTGGTAAGTGATGAACTAACTACATTGAGTATATTATTTTCAGTACAGATGCATCACCCCATTTTTACTTAATGCTGTGTCTTTAAATAACATTTTACACACAGCTATATATGAAAACTCATTTGAAATAAATAACTTACAAGAAAAGAATCCATCCCATATTACTGGTTTTTAAGTAAAATACCATTAGAAAAAGCAATATATTAACAACCATATGTAATTAGCTGGAGAGAGGTGGTTAGCATGGAGAAGAGCACATCTGGGAATGTAGCATTTTGAGGGGGAAAACAGGCTAAGGCATTTCTCCTTGAATAAAGAAGTAGTAAATATGAATTAGATTCTATGCAATTCAGGTTCCATAACTAGAAAACAACCTGAAAATTAAAAAAAAAATGATTTACTTCTAAAATTCTGTGATTTAAAAAATGGCTTTGTGTTTCAAGGAGTTCCAGGTGTGTATAATTACCCCAAAGACATTTTCATATACATTCTATACAGGCATTTGGAATGAAATAGATTACTCTATTTTTTTTTTTTGCAGCATTTTCATTCTCTCTGTTCACAAAGTTAAAAAAAACACACACACACATATGGGATTTATAGTCCAGAAATGTGAATTTGAAATATGATTTGTACTCACATAACTCTCTTCTGAGCTCATGTTTTCTACATTACTATTTTGTTTAAAAATACAAGAGTCAGATGGTCTTGCTTTGGGATACTTTATATTTTCAAACAGAGAAGAATCCAAAAGCAATTTAGGAACATTGAAGGTTGAAAATACTTAAAATTTTAGGACTAATAACTAATGTTCACTTATAAAGTGCTGTTAAAATTGAGTGTACTTCAGACCAGGATGTGAACATGGTTCTGCCCCCTACCAGTTTAGAGACTTTTTGTGGGTCATGTATTTCACACTATACTCGCTCATTTCTCTTCACTATTTTTTTCTCTCTCCTTCCATCCCTGCAGTTATTACTACTTGCAATTCCAACAACAAACTGTCAGATCATATAGCAAAAGTGTTTTCTAAAACTCTATTTATTTATTTTTGATATAACTCAGACAACACAAATCCAATTTTTATGAACTGATAAAACATGCTTTTAACAGCACAATGTGAGGATGACCTGAAGTCGGACATGTCTGTGGGACAATCTAGAAGTGTCAATATTTATCCTGTGTCATATATGATTTCTGTGCATATTAAAGTTAGAGAAATAACTATCTTCCACCTCCACCTTCAAATTCTGTAGTATATAGAAAAGTAACAGATTATGATCACATCCACATTTTCTTGAAGTATAATGAATTATTTAAAAGACAAAGACAAACTCCTGTTTTTCTCAGTGATAAAATAGTAGTATTGAAACAACTACTGGTAAATTAACATTCAAAGCAAATTATGGCTTTGTGTTGGTACATTCATCAAAAATATCAGTAACTAATAATGTAGCTATGTAATAAATAGTGTAATGGGAATTTCTATCCTTACATTCTAGATAGTTCTTTGATTTAAAAGGTTTACTAAAATTAGGCTCTCTGGCAATAATAAAATATTATGACCCAAATGATGTTTGGCAGATGATATAAGACCAAGCCATGCACATTATATTCTTATAACAATAACAGTAAATAATAACTGTTTACTTTCCCATCTTCTAGATTCAGAGCATGATGAAGGCAAGTGCTATCTTTTTTTTTTCCTAGTTCCTCATAAAGGTTAAATTATAGAAAGATATTGACTGAGGAAATGTTTGTCGAATGGATGAATAAATGAATATCTGAAAAATATAATGGTGTTCTGGAAAGAACACATATATATAAAACAAAATCATCTAAGAAGCTTAAAAACAGCATTTAGGGCCTCCCTGGTGGCCCAAGGGGTTAAGACACAACCTATGAAGCAATCCACAGCCACTACAGCACAAGTTCAATCCCTGGCCAGGGAGCAACACACATAATGCAGCAGATCTCTCCTGGCTCGCCCACGGCTCCACTTAGTAGTGTATTTCAGTCAATCTGCCTGTTCTGCTCCCCCCTCTGTCTATGGTGAATCCTCTCACCCCCCACACCTCTGGCCTGTACCCCAGTTCTTGTATGAATAAATAAATCTTTAAAAAAAAACAGCATTTAACTATATGTAGCTATAATAGGCAGGAAAAATAAGACATAAATTACCTTAAAAATTAATAAAAAATGTCATCCTGACTGACTTTAGCAATGTACCCAGAAATTTGAAGTAAGTTTTAATGTTTTATAAGCAACAACCCATTACATATTTTCATAATTTCACAAATTTGCTATTTCTAACACAAGTCAGAACAAGAAAATGGTGTACTAGGATTTTAGCGGAGTAGTCAGTGTTTAAGGTGGTGGTCATTTATTAGTTGAAAAAATTCTGAGTGAAAAAATAAGGTGAGAAAAACTTGAAAAGGAAACAAAAAGTATTAATCAACTATATTTACTACACTAACCTGAACCAGCTATGAACATTGTAGTGCTATCAACAAACTGCATGCTGAGTGTGTAAACTTAAAATGACAATTTTGATTTTCATTTCATCAAGACAAGGAAGAAAATGAAATTGAGTAGTAAATAGTGTGTGTGTATCACACACCTGAAAGATTAAGGGAATATTGTGCTCATTATAGGTGAGTTTAAGCAAAGTACTGAAATGTTTCATTTGAAGGGCTGAATATAAATAAAAGAATAAAGTGACAAGGAAAATTAATAACACTCAAGTACAGAAAACATGGTATATGATTAGACTTCCTGAGGCTCCTAGATACTATTTCCCTTTAAGAAAGCAATAAACATTTTATTTTTAAAAACTACCTTAGATAATATGATGCTGTTAGAAATACAGGAACAATATTCACAAAGAATATATTGAATAACTGGTGAGTTTTCAGTTTTCCTCTCATTATAAGCAATATTTCTTCATCTAATATTAAACATTTTTTTTTTACTTTTACTATATTTCTCTCAGAGTTCATCATTATCTTCAGACAAAAACAAAATAATTATTATAAATAATAATGGTGCCCTTAAAAGTAAAATAAGTATTTAATAATTCCTCTTAAGTTAATAAATTTAATCTAAGTTCCTCTAAGTGTCAGTCACGGTCCTGTTCTATTGAGATTATTTCTTCCTACTGGGGTAAGAGAATTTAAAGTTCATTCATACTTTGAAGGACAAACAAATACACTGTGTTAAGTAGGTAATAATCTGGGACAAATAAAAGTGAAAACTCCAGAATGCAATATCAATAAGGTGTTTCTCAGAGAAAACTTTCCAAAAATATGCTTTTTTGTTTTATTGATACAAGTCAAAAACAGATGCTCACAAACATAATTCACCAAATAGAAATCCTTAAGCAAACATGTGACACCATTTCTCAATTGTTCTGCAATTTCTGTTATAAATCTGAATTTTTAAAGTTTTTTTCTGATCACAATCCAAAGGATGTATTTCCTAATAGTCAAATAAAATGATCCCTGGAATGATTTTTAGCAAATAAAATGCAAGCATTTTACATTTTTCTGTATCTATTTTCAACCTTAATTAGAACTTCATTAGTTGATCAAAACTATATAAATGTGCCATTTCCACTCTGGAATTCTCTTTGCACATGTTATAGATTAGGGAAATCACGTGTAATTTAAGAGCAATTTCTCATAAGCATGCAAATATAAATTCATAAAACAAAATAAAAATTCTAGGTAATCTCATTTAGATTAAAGAAATGTATATAGGACATATAAAAATTTATAACAATCCTGAAAGATGAAACATTTTACCATAATTCTCACAGTGCCATACTACTTAGACTTAAATTAATTTTCCTTTCAATTAACTGCTTGTAAGGTAGCCCCTATAACCTGCACCTAGATTCCCATGGCTAAAATGACCTCTGACAAAACATTTAGTAAATATATAGAAAAGCTCAGCTATCTAAACACAACAAAAATCTGCAGTAGCTCCCATTTCCAATGGAATATTGTCAAAACCTTTTAGTATATATGGTTTCTAAATACCACTAAACTCACACCCTATCTTTGACCACACTTCTCCAGCAATCTATGTGCAAGCATCTACAGGATGCTCTCCAGATTCTCACCTGGCATCTTTGAATATACTGCTCCCTTGGCAGCAAGTCCCCATTGAAAGCTACTTCCTATGAGACTTTCTCATAATAATTAGCTCTTCATTGGACCCCATTGTAGACTGAGTTTTCCTTCTTTTTAGAAGTTTCTAATGTGCTAACCCCCAATAAAAAAGGAGTACAAATTTTTAGAGACTATGCTTTGATCATCGAATATGTAATTTAGTATAGCATTTCAACTTAGTGTTGAAAAAGCATTTAACTGGATAATTTGTATGTAATTTGGCATTATTATCATCACCCAATCATTATCTAAGTATATGACTACTATTCATCTATTTCAAAAAAATGTTGTCTGAAATTAAAAAAAAAGGAGAATATTAATTAAAGTACCCTCATCTATTGAAAGAAGGTGCTGAAGACTTTGGAGTTATTATACTATTCATTGTGTATTTTGTATTTGCACATGTGGAACACCACTTATGAGACAGAGAAGGCCAAGAGGCATTTCAATTTTCTTGAAATGTCACTGTTAACACAGTGTTAATGAATACATGGCATATGTAAAACCCCCTTCTTTGATATGCATCTTAAAATAGTTGTATTTATAACCCCAAAATTTTAACATTTTTAGTCTTCTTAACATACTTTCCCATGGAATATATGCATTTCCCACATTTTAATACTTATAGACAATCTGGATCCTTCATTATATCATCCTTGCCTCTGACATGAAGACAAGTCCCACTTTGGGCTCTCACATGTCTTCCTTCTGACATGACTTTGCTCATTCCTTGTCCCATCCCATTGTTACCTGAATCCATGGCCATCTGTCATTTTCTGCAGCTGTCCAGGCGTTTATAAGTCCTTTCTTATTAAGACGTGCATAGTAGGGATACCATTTCTGCAGTCCAAAGAGAGCTCGGTGGGTAGATGAAGCTGTAATTTGCTGATTTGATATGATTCCACCTTCAATTCCCAATGGACCTGAACATTCTGGGAATAAACCAGGGAGACGTGTGAATGTATCAGAAATAATCCATATTCAAAATGAAACTTAAATTTGACAGAAGATACTTTTTAAAAGATTTCAATTTGAACATCATGCCATTTAAGCTTCACCTAACTTTACAAATCTGATAATGATCACTACATTAAGGATATAATTCTTGTCCTCCTGATACTCTTTTTCTTTTGAATGTATCATCTACTGAACAGATATTTCTCTTCTGCATTACAATTTCATATTTTGCATTCTTATCTTTTGTCTTTGATCATGTCAACAAAAGTGCAATGCCCATAAAGGCCCTATCTCCTATATTCCAAGGATTAGCATGCCTCATAAATCCTAAGTCTCAATAAATATTAATGACCCATTATTTCTTTATTAACCCACATCTAAGTTTGGTATCAAACTTATTTTCATACAGACTTAGCATATCTTAGTACTATAATTTTTCAACTTAAAGTTTTATAATTGTCAGTAATACTTCCCTAAAAAGGACAATGAATACCTCTGTTAACATTTAAATATAATATTTACTTGTGGTAATAGAATAGAAAATATGTTCACAAATTAATTTCATAAGCAGATAAACTATGACATTATACATAGTAGTATGTATACCATTCCATCAAAAATTAAAATATTTATATTTCTAAAATTTTTAGTGAAAACTCACAACAACATAAAGGTATTCTGCTCTTAACACTTTAATTTCTTTTATTTTTCTTTAAATTGTGACTTAAAAATTTTAAAGTTTCTTTACAACAATTTAAAATACTGATTTAGGGGACTCCCTGGTGGCACAAGGGTTGGGAAGCAACCTAGGGGGCTGTCTGCAGCCGCTGCACCATGAGTTCAATTCCCAGCCAACCAGGAAGCAACCCACATGGTGCAACAGACCTCTCCTGACTGGCCTGCTGCTCCCCTAAGCAGTTTGCATTGGTCAATCTTTCTGTTCTGTTCCCCACTCTGTTTATGGTGCATCCTCTCACCCCTCCCCCATTGGCCGTGCCTCTGGCCTGTACCCCAGCTCTTGTATGCATAAGTGAATAATCTTAAAAAAAATAAATACTGATTTAAATTGCAATATAATTAAATAATATGCTCCTAGACACCAAATAGCTTTCCACTTAGAAATATAAAATGGAGGTAAATCTATTGTAAAATTATACATTTATGTTATATATTTAGATTTCCTATTCATGTTAACTTTTAATTCAGGTTTGAAAAATCAAAATAAGTTATATTATGATATAATGCAGATAATTAATTTACTTAAAACTTCATACCCTATACTCAACTTTTTATGCCAAATTAGATTTGTATAATGATTATAATCTTCTTTTTTTTTAATTTATACAAGAGCTGGGGTACCGGGCAGAGGCGCAGTAGTGTGAGAGGATTCACCAGAGACAGAGCTGGGAACAGAACACTCAGACTGACTGAAATACACTGCTGAGAGGAGCAGCGGGCGAGACAGGAGAGGTCTGCCTTGCCATGTGTGTATCTCCCTGGCCAGCCGGGAATTGAACCTGCACTTCAGAGGCTGCAGACAGCTTCACAGTGCTGAGCTCAACCCACTGCACCACCAGGGAGGCCCATAATCCATTTTTAAATAACTAAAATTTTTCAGAATTCCTGAAAATATAAAGGAGCACACTGCCTGCCATTCTTAAAAGTCAGATTTTATGTCGAATCAATCAGTGACGGCCATGGTATATTTTAGATTTTAATACTGATAGCTCTTTGAAATTTAGCATTTGTCAATTATTAAGTCTATTTATACATAGATTAAAATTGAAAATATTAAAGGAAGAATTTTGCAATTCAATTATCATATTTAAAAAGCAAGTTTAAAGGTGTTTCTCATTGGTAACTATTAAGCATAAACATATTTCTTTTTTTTATTTCAAGCTCATATAGAAAGTAGTTCTAAGCATAACTCTAAAATTTCTCCAATAACTTTAAGACCTTTAAACTGTTTTTATTAAAGGGCGAAATTATGTGGATAAGAAACTATCTTAATATAATTTTTTAGTAAATGAATTAATACAGCAAAAGTTACCTGTCATTTAAACTGATAAATCATTTGATATATTAAATTTACAAAATAAGATCAGCTTTAAAATGCATAACCAGAACTGTTTAGAATTTTATGAAAGTGCTGACATTGCTTTGAAGTCATTACATTAAAAATAATGTTTAGAATTATAGTGTTAGGAATCACATATTATAAAAATGAACATTGTAAACTCAAATGGTGACTCTTTGGATTCTTGTTTTGCTTTCCATTTTAAACTTCAAGTTCTTTTACAGAATTCATAAAAGCACTAAGACCATTTCATGATGACACTTTGAAAAACAAACTGTAGGTGGATGTTTTTATAAAAGAATACTGCCATTAAAGGAGTCTTAGGTTCTTGTCCGTGATTTGTGCCATTCTGAGATGTGAAAATGCAGCAGGTAGGGAGGTCATTTATTGCAGGCCAGTCACTGAAATGGCAGAGTCAGCTTTGATTAATTAAACTGCATGATCACCTTAGAAAGAACTCTGTGCTATTTAGTTGTGTACTTCTAAAGATCTTATGCCAACCTGGATATCCTAACTGAATTTGTAACCAGTTTAGAAGAGAGATTAGATCTCAACTCACACTCTTTTGTAAACCCCCAGCTTCTACTCATTTGTTAACATATCAGGGAACATATTTGCCACGAACTGTTGTGTTTTCATACATGCCAAACACCAATGAGTGATTTTAAAGTTATATTTGTGTGTCTTTCTTTGTATCCTTCTGTAAGTCTTCCAATCTTTTTCATGTCCTCACTAATCATTCCTTCCAACAAAACCTAATAATTCAAAAAATATTCACTGATGTGCTGTATTTGTATAGGGCTTCATGGTTGTCCAAGTATTTTCTCATGCGCTATCTCACAGTCATGATGTCAAATTTATGAATATTTCTTTTCTCAGTCTTCAATTGCACATGTTGTTTTTTAACATTTTTACAGCATTTACTTATATACACTGTGGCTGATCAGTAAAGTCCAGCAGAGGAAACATGATGGTGGGGGGCTCTAGAATGAATTCGATTAATTCCTTATTGGCTATTGGTTCTCAGTTTTTCTTCTTTTAAAAAATTGGGGTTATGATGACACCTAACACATGCTATGGAGTAAAAAAAAAAATGGTAGAAGTGCTTTGTCTTGGTTACTATAAATTGTTAAAAAATGAGCTCAGTTCTGCAAGGTCACTAGCACATTTCCTTCAGAGCCATCCCACTGAGGTGGCACAACTTTGCTGCTGGTGCTGGCTTTTTCAATGGTACATTCTTAGCTGCTTGTGGTGGTTTGTACAGGAAGATCCCAATGATATGTGCTGAATATTAGGGATAGGGGCTTTCTATTTTTCTCTACACAGTAAACTAAAGAGCCAATCCAGGTCATATCCTTTATTTCACAGTGGAAAGTTGTTACAACAGCAACTTTTCTTCACTAATCATTTGGACCACAGTCAAAGGGATGCCATCATAATAAAAATGCTCAAAATCCAATTTCCTTTTGCCTGTGCTATCTACTTCCCCAATGTCCTATTAAATTCAACAATTATAAAAACCGAAGGTGTTGCAATTTAGAATGCAAATGATTATACACCTAAGATTAAGTGACCTTAAGCAATGAACAATGCATATAAGAAAGATACTATGAAGCTGTAGATTCTTATCACTACCCATCCGTGTTGGAAGTGATATGAAATACTATTTGATGAAAAAATAGTCTTTAGTGAGCATTCTGAAGTTTGAAAAGTGCATCCATCTGTGTTTTTCAAACATAATTAAAATAACACTTAAAGAAAAATGATTATCATGCTTATTTCATAAATTAAGAAACTTATTAGGAGGGAAGTTAAACTTGTAAAATATGAGTCTTGGATTTAAGAATCAAAGGTTCTACTTCACAAACAGAAAATAGTACCAACTGATAGAATGACGAGTTTCAGTATTTCTTCAAAGTTTTGATTCTGGAACTTTTCTCCTACTAGTATTTTATATGGGGACATGTATTTATATACACTAAGAAGGAGAATAGGAGAATTAACATGTAGATTATCAATAGTGGCATTAAGGATAGAATAGAGCTGTTAAAAAATGGTATACATTGAAACAGTAGGTGACTATCTATGGCAGTGAGTCACAGAAGAGGTTTTATGGTGGCCTGTGGCCCCTAAGTTAAGAAATTCATTTGCTACCATGTAGGCCTAAATATTGGCCTGTGTAACATGAAGAGACTAATTCAATCCCAAGTAATTTATTGATCTGTTTCTATGCACCGACCCTTCCATCCATCAATCTATTCTCCAAACATTTTTGTTTATAAATCAGCATTGAAAAACACATATTTATCAAAGCCCTAGTACATATCAGGCATTTTTCTAGTGACATTACAGGAATGAAAAAGGAAAAAATAAGTTTCAGCTCTCAGAGTTCATATTTTTGCAGGAAGAGAGGCATTTAAAGAAATGAGAAAATACCATAAAGTCATAAGTGAAGAAATAAAGAAAGGTTTCAGCCTAATCTTTGACCAAACCCAGGAACACCCAAAGGTATTTCTGGCTGCCAGAATAGTGTTTATGCATCTTTTGATATTGGGCTTGTTTTCTTCAGGCTTAGCAATAATTCAAAATTAATGAGTCCAATCAGCATCTATTACCAGAGGTTTTTAGGTATCATTTTACTTAGTGAGTTCAAATAACTGCTTTGTCTGAATTGGCTAAGTGGACTGGGAATTCCTTCTGACCTGAGACCTTATACCGAGCCAATAAGTGATGTCGCCTGGCAGGAAGAGCAAGAGCAGCTAGGTCAGCTGGGGCCAGTCTCAGAGCCATCCTGAGTGACTTCTCTGCCTTTACCAAGTTGCTGCAACTATAAGATCTGGGAGTGAAGTCCTTCTCACTCTGCAAACTCATTGTCTGCCGTGTAGCAAAGAATGACAT